ATTGGAGATAGGAGTCTCACGGTCTCTCCTGCCCGGTCTGGCTTTGAACCGCGATCCTCAGATCTCAGCCTCCTGAGTAGCTAGGATTACAGGCGTGAGCCACCAGCGCCTGGCGCATTTTTACTTCTTTTCAGCAAGTATTTGTAAGTGCCTAATGGAACTGAAAAAGTGGTATAACAGGGAACATAAGGCAACTATTTTTTTTTTGTATAAGGGATTATAAAAATAATTCATGAGGTGATTCAGTGGTAGAGTGCTTGCCTTGCATGCTTGAGGCCCTGGGTTCGATTCCTCAGCACCACATAAGCAGAAAAAGCCGGAACTGGCACTGTGGCTCAAGTGGTAGAGTGCTAGCCTTGAGCTCAAGAGCTGAGGGACAGCACCCAGGCCTAGAGTTCAAATCCACGACCAAAAATAAAATAAAATAAAATTAAAAAATTCATGAATAAAAAAGCCATTCAGAGCTAGGGATGTAACTCAGTGTCAGAACTCTCATATAGCATTTGCCTGACATGTACAGGGGTCTTGCTTTGATCCCCAGAAGAAAAAGGTCTATTCATCCTTCGACTGGGGGGGGGATGGGCATGTGCACATGCAAGCACAAGTATACCCAACAGGCTGGGATGTATGTGTGTGTCCCTTGCGTGTACATACTTTCCCATATATTATTATCAACATCAAAAGGATGAACACTTAAAACACAGATAAGGAAAATGAGGCCCAGGGATGCAATGTAATTATCAAGGGACAGAATTGCGATTTGACCCCAGGTTTTTCCTTCAGAAGCCTGCTCTCAGCCATTTCTTTTTTCTTTTTTTGTCAGTCGTGGGACTTGAACTCTGGGCCTGCGCGCTGTCCCTCAGCTCTTCAGCTCAAGGTGAGTGCTCTACCACTTGAGCTACAGCGCCACTTCCGGTTTTCTGGTGGTTTATTGGAGATAGGAGTCTCACGGTCTCTCCTGCCCAGGCTGGCTTTGAACCACGATCCTCAGATCTCAGCCTCCTGAGTAGCTAGGATTACAGGTGTGAGCCACCAGCGGCTTTCAGCCATTTCTTTGACCGCTTCTCAAATATAAGCTGGTGGCTGTAGCTTTGTATTACTTAAAGTAGTAATCTTCTACTAATGAACTGTTTCTAGAACATGATGGAACTCTATCAGGATTTCACAACTTCCCAAGAACACTAGCTATACCAACATTTGAGTAAGTTTGTGAACAAACATAATGAAGCCATACCTGTGAGAAAACTATACAGTTACTTAGAATAATGTATCACTTTACATATATACACAAAAATTTTAACCATCATTTAGGCTACATTTTCAGTTATGTTCTCACATCCAAACTCCTCCCTTCATTATCAGTTACCTAAAAAAATAAAATAAACAAAAACTGTCCATTTCGATGCCCTATAATTTACCTTTTTCTTTTTGTCGGTTGAGGGCTTGAGCTCTGGACCTGGGTGCGGTCCCTCAGCTCTTCAGCTCAAGGCGAGCGCTCTACCACTAGAGCCACAGCTCTACTTCCGGGTTTTCTGAGTAGTTTATTGGAGATCAGAGTCACATGACTTTTCTGCCAGGGCTGGCTTTGAACCATGATCCTCAGACCTCAGCCTCCAGAGTAGCTAGGATTACAGTTGAGCCACCCTCACTTGGATTATCTTTTTCTTTTGTTTAGCACTCTATCAATTGAGTCACAGCACCACTTAGGAGTTTTTAGGGTGGTTAATTGGAGATAAGAATCTCACAGCTTTTCTGGTCTGAGCTGGCTTTGAACTGTTATCTTCAGATCTCAGCTTCCCAACTAGCTAGGATACAGGTGTGAGCTACTGGTGCCCAGCAACAAAATGCAATTTCTGATACAATGTTGCACAAGAATTTAGCTTGAAAGATATGTGCTACAGCTTTACTTTAGATATATACAAACAACAAATATACTTTGTCAATAAATTCTTACAAGTGAAGTTAGAATGCTGTTTGAGAAACAAATGGACATAAAAAGAAAAAAGGCTTTATGCCAGGAAGCTGAGATTTGAGGTTCACTTTTGAAGCCAGCCCTGGCAGGAAAGTCCAGAAAACTCTTATCTCCAATAAGCCACTTAAAAAAGCAGAAGTAGCCCTGTGGCTCAAGTAGTAGAACACTAGGTCTTGAGCAAAAGAAGCTCAGGGAGAGGCTGGGAAGGTGGCTCTGTGGTAGAGTGCTTGCCTTGCATTCATGAGGCCCTGGATTCGATTCCTCAGCACCGCATAAGCAGAAAAAGCTGGAAGTGGTACTGTGGCTCAAGTGGTAGAGTGCTAGCCTGGGGCCGAAGAGCTGAGGGACGGCGCCAGGCACAGAGTTCAGGCCCTATGACCAAAAAAAAAAAAAAAAAAAATTAAAAAAAAAAAAAAAAGCAGCTCAGGGACTGTGCCCAGGCCCCAGGACTGGGGGAGGGGGGGGGGAAGCCTTATAAGAACATACATCTACATATAAATAGTTAATACGTATATACATATTTTTTTCCTAAAGTTTTTACGGTATACTTTTGTAATTACAACAACTTTAGCTGGGCTGGCTCATGTCTGCATCCTAGCTACTCAAGAGGCTGAGATCTGAGGATGCTGGTTAGAGCCAGCCCAGACAGAAAAATTTAAGACATTTTTATTTTTTTTTATTTTTTTGTCGGTCATGGGGCTTGAACTCTGGGCCTGAGCGCTGTCCCTCAGCTCTTCAGCTCAAGG